AGTTGAGAAACATTGCTCTGAGGGCAAGACCAGACATTCTAACCTTTATCGCTAGTCCTTGACTTACAACTGTTCATTTAGGGACCCTTCGAACTTACAACCAGTGCTGACAAAAGTGACTCAAAACCCATCCACCCCCTTAGCAGCCATCACAGCATCCTTGTGGCCACGTTGTGACCAACATTCAGCTGTTTGGCAATTGGCGTACATCGTCGAAGATTTGCAGAGTCCGTTTTTCAACCTTCAACAAGCACTATCAATAAGAGAAGCCGGTTTGGTTCATGACTGCACGCTTCTCTGAACAACTTGAATTTGAAGGTCTCTACTGTATCTTACAATACTAGTATTCTAAGAGGTGGTAGTATGGGAGGGTTTCTTCTCAAGTCTACCCACCATTTCTACGGTTTTGAGTGTGTTCAGTTCCAGATTGTTCCGGTTACACCACGAGGCAAGTTGTACAACCTCCTGTCTGTATGCGGATTCATCGTTGTCTCGAATGAGACCAATCACTGTTGTGTCCTCTGCAAACTTCAGTATTTTAACGGATGGATCCTTTGAGATGCAGTCATTGGTATATAGGGAGAAGTGGAGAAAGCACACAGCCTTGGGGAGGGCCCTGTGCTAATTGTACAGGTATCAGGTGTGATTCTGCCTACCTTCACCTGCTGCTTCCTGTCTTTTAGGAAGGATGTAAACTCAGTGAGAAATATTATTATGTGCACAGGATAGATGTACCAGACGACACACTGTATAACTGAAAGATGGTTTTTATTTGTTGTTTTTGCTTTAAAAATAAAAATAAAATTCAAAAAAACCCCAAATAAACCCAAAACAACGGCTTCGCTCAACGATGGAAATGTCAGTCCCTACTGTGATCGTTGACTGAGGACTAACCTATCTGCAAAACGACACACCACTCTCTACAAAATGCACATTTATCAAATGAACGATCCATTGGACTATCGGATAACTGATACCTCCCCCTGCCCCGCCCTTCCCTCCCAATCCTCATTTGCCTAAATTATGCAGAAGTATTTTATTATTCCGTGCCTGCTGGGACATTTTTTCTTCTCGAGCCATTTTCAGGAACTCTCGGAGAAGGTGGAAAGTTAAGTCTAAGGAATTAGGGCGGCTGTCTCGTCTCTGGTTGGAGAAGGCTGATCTTGCAGGTCTCCGTGGCTGGGATCGGTCACCTGTGCCTGGGCAGGATCTGGGAGAGCTTGATGCCGGGAAGATCCCCGCTCCGGAGCTGGGCAGAGGTCCCAAAGATGGATCTCTCCAGGTCGACGGGTTCAGCCACGCTGGCTCCCAAACCACATCATTGATTGGTAGCAACTGGGCCAGTGGGAGGCAGGATGTCCCTGGGAGAAACAGCAGAAGGACGAGAAGCCCAGCAGAAATCTTGAAGGCCATGGCCAAACCCTAGGACAGAATCCAGAAATTACTCTGAGAAATGCCTCGGTTTCCAAAGGCTTCTGTTTGGGTCCAGAGGCTTCAAAGCATCTAACAGCAGGAACAGCATTTAAGGAGGATTTGACATCAAGCTAATAATTCAGATAAGAACATTGCTCATTACAGGTCTCAAAATACAAGGGGTAAACTCCATATATGGTTATTTAAATGCTCCTTTAACTTTTGAATATGGTAAAAACTCTTATCTTTTGAGAGCTGATTAAACAGATTGACTCCACAAGGATAGATAATCCTCCTGTCCTTTCCTTCCTTCCTTCCTTCCTTCCTTCCTTCCTTCCTTCCTTCCTTCCTTCCTTCCTTCCTTCCT